AATGTTTTATTCGATAACTAAAATTATATTTGATGTTTATAGCGATAAAAATATGCCTAAAGCAGAAAAATGTGGGCAGACTCATGTGGCGTTCATCTTCCAATTGAAGCTAAAATATGCGGAATGCATTTTTCATCTGCTGATTTTGTGTCTGGGTCAGACCGAAAGCGGGCGAAATTGACCGGAGATGCTGTTCCAATGGCAATTGAAAGTCTTGGTGACGAATTTCGTGAATACATTGACGCTTCTACCCAGACTGAGTAAATTTAGAATATATTAAAAAAAATATTAATATACATATGTATTTATATATAAACGTACATACTTATGTACGTTCCATTTAGACCTGGTCCATATGACCTTGAAAAAATGTTTTAGGCACAAATTGCAGTTTTGAGAACGCAACTTGAAGAATTGCAGAAATTGGAAAAAAACTTTCAAGTCTATTTTCACTGAAGGTCAAATGCGGAAAATCCAAGAGCCAACCAAAACTATACATTGGACTTGGAAAGACATGTCGTCCGCTATAGCTCTACATTCAGCCGGTCCGAGAATCGGCTGTGGCGAAATGGGTTCAAAAAATTAAATTCGAGGATGGAGTTTTAAATTTTGCAATCCAAGCCATGCGAAGCGTTCACGATCTACCAATAGCAGATAGACTGTGCTGTTTAGCGTTGGACGAAATGAAAGTAGAGTCCATCTACGAATACGACACACTGTCAGACACCGTACGTCCACCAAGTAGCTATGTTCAGATGGTAATTGCTCGCGGATTGAAGTCTTCGTGGAAACAGCCTGTTTTCTGTGCGTTCGATTGCAGAATGACAAGACCAATCTTAGATAATCTGATCGTCACTCTCCACGAAGCAGGTTACCCGGTTTTAGCAGTTGTGTCGGATATGGGGCCAGGAAATCAAGCGCTTTGGAAAGAGCTCAATATATCGACCGGTAAATGAATATTTTAGATAATAATTTATCATGTTTAATATGCCGTATACATCAATTAGAACAAACATGGTTTTTAAATTCTAAAAGTGATGGCAAAGTTTTTGTCTTTGCGGATGCGCCACATCTCCTCAAACTTTTCAGGAACCATTTTCTCGACACCGGCCTAGTATTCCAAGGAGATTATTTAACATCGCGCTGTATTGCTGAACTTCTGACCTACACAGTTGTCTCGGATGTGTCAATTGCTCACAAGCTATCGGAAGGGCATCTAACGGTACATCATGCTGGCCGGCAGAAGGTAAAACTAGCCACGCTATTATTTTCGCACAGCACTGCAAGCGCTTTACGACGCTGCTATACGACCGGACTCACAATGTATAAAGCGCAGGAAACGGCTAGTTTTATTGAAACGGTCAATGATTGGTTCGACTTAATGAACACCAAGCATTCGACCATGCAATCGTTTCCATCAAAGATACCTTTTGGTATGCATTTAGAAGACCAACTAAAAATATTGGAACAAATGGACCGTTGCATGACAGATACTCGCGCTTATGGAAAAGTTTCGCTGTTGCCTTTCCAAAAGGGTGTGCTGATCTCAAATAGTTCCCTTAGAGGTCTATTTAAATTTGTTCAAGAAGAATATGGTCTTCAATATCTCCTGACGTATAAGCTAAATCAGGACATCGTGCCAAAGGAGGCCTTCATGACCATCCGTCGCCAATGCAATTTAAATATAGACTGCGTAGATATTTACTGGGTAAATAAGATTTTACTACATATCAAACAAACATTTAGGTGAGAGAACGATTAGAAAACGATTCGAATTCTAATGCGTTTCTCTAAGGCAGAAGGTTAGAACACGATTAGAAAAACTGTCGAGAATTGTAGCATTCTGTACAAAAGGGGGACTAAGTTCTCAATATCGAGAGAAAGAGGTTAGATATCTAATCGTACTCTAGCGTTGAATTCTAATTGGATTTCTAATATGTAGTATTTTTTTATTATTCTCTAATCGAATTCTAGCATAGTTCTCTAACTTGATTTTACATTCGAGAACTACATTAGAATTCTAATGTAAAATCAAAATGTTTCTCTAATGTTAGGGACTTCGTTTGCTGGGTAACCATAATAAAATAATGTATTTTAATTAATTAATATCTCAATAGCTCGAAATATGGAAACTTTAGCAGCACGCGGTAATGTGGAGGAGGAAAACGAAACCGAATGGTTAAATTTCGACCCGTCCGATAACCTTATATTTCAAGATGAGCTCACAAGCCCTGATGAACTGGAAATTGGCGATTCCGGTATGTCAGAAGACATTGCACCGCTGCATGAAGATGCACTTGAGTACGTGGCTGGATATATCATCCGGAAATTGGGGCTTAATCAGTTCATCAGTAACGAACAATCTTTTACATGGGTAGACCAAATTTCCAGAGGCCCCTTATTTAAGCCCTCAAGCGAGTTTTTGGAAAAGATAAAAGAGCTGGAAAGTATTTTCAATCAATCCAACGGACAGCTGATTAAAACTTGGCCTAATTTTCAAAGCATGTTAATTAAATTGAGCGAAAAGTGCGAACTTAGCTGTGATATAAAAAAAACTATTTTTTAAAAGCAGGATGCATTTCCGGATCAAGCATTTAAATAAAATCATAAAGAAAAAGGCTTAAGAACAGAGTTACAGCTACGCAACAATTTACTATACAATGGAGTGCAATGTGGTATAGTAGTGGTTCTGAGTATTCAGTTGCTATACCCAATCCCGGCTCGAAACACTACACAACTTATTACTAATTTTAGTACTTAATGTTAATTATTTTCCATACTTTGACAATTAGTCTTTTCAATAAAATGTGCTTTAATTTAAAAACGTGATTATTGTTTTTAATAATGAATTCTGACTAAAACATATATGTACATATTTAAGACTGATGATGATATCTAACGTTATAACAAAAATTAACAAAAAACTATTCACTTAATTTAAAAGAGAGAAAATTTGTAAATTGTAGTTTTGAATTATAATTAAAAAATAACTGAAATGGAACTTTATAAAGCAAGCGTTTTGTTTAAATCGGTATTAGAATCAGAAGGTGATAAACTAATAAGATCACCCAGGCAACCGTGTATTTGTAATTGCATTTGAGAAAAAAAATAATAGTTAATGACGTCATTTTTTAATCGGTTCTTTCATTCACATACAGGTTTCATTCCGTTTCATTGACACGGTGGCGAAAAAATTACGTCACTGCCAAAAAAATACTTTTTTTCTCGCACGCCGTCCTGGGTGATCTTCATTCGTTCGTTCATGCGTATACTTGTACACATACAGCACAATATACATTTCTTATGAATGACAATAATATGCACAATTTTTAGTTTTGTTCTACATTTAGCATAAACAAAAGCGGACTTTATTTAGTACTTTTTGAAAAAACGGCCTTTTTTATTCCCGGTTTCCCTCCTACTTCCAAAATACAACATTTAGTAAGGGAGTTTCAAACCAGCTTGTCATAACATACAACACCTTGTATAATTTCACCATGGTTTTTCATGTGCGTAATTATAAAAACCCTTCGAGTTTCAGTGGCAGCACTACTGACAATTCTACAAAATTACTTTGATAAAATTAGAGTCATCTCATATTCGAATACTGGAAATATTTGAATTGCAGTGCAGCACTACGGGCTACACTTCTAAAACAACTATCGAATTTTTGCGATCTCACATTTTAATACTGGAAAGACTGTTTGCGACAGTAGTTCAGTAAAAATGGTATAAAAATTCGGCAATCTGGCAATTTTCCGGCACACAAAAAAAAAGTTCGCGTCCTTTTACCAGACCCACCTACCGAATGTATTCCGACCCACTGGATCCGAATCTGAGGTCCGTTTGACACGTACAGTACACCGAAAAAAATAGCAAAAAATTAGCAATTTTCGCAATTTACTCGAAATTTTATACGCGTCAAAAGGACGGTTAAAAGCACCCGCAACTTTTTTTTTGTGGGCCGGTGCTATTATTCCGTGAGTCGCAGGTTCAAATATCGGCACATTCCGAACGAAAAATGACACTGAAGATGGCACAGTGCAGATACCGGTTTTGTCTCCAAACCAAATTTGGCAAGGGATGACGGAAAATCGCTCCACATTACATCATACTCCTACGCTGTCGAAAAGACGAACAACGAAAATGAGAATATAGGCCCATGCAGTAATTAGTTGATAGAAAAATATTTTCTAATAAAAAAATATTATAATTGTCAATAGGATTTTCAATCTTGATAATTTATTTAGAAAATAGATTTGAACTTCTGTGCTAGAACTGAGAGCTCTTGATAAATAATCAAAAATTGACAAATTATAAAAATATTGAATTTATTACATAAGTGCACAGATTCTTGCTGTATGTAAGTATATTCAGTAAGTTTTTTTCAGTATATTTTTTTCTCAGTGCAGAGGTGAATATTTCGGTAGTGAAGATTTGGTAACTTTTGCTAACTTTACTTAAGAGATTTTGGTAGAAAAAAATTTTGGCGTGTGGCAACCATGATTGGAAATTCACATGATTTGCCATAAACGAAAGACACAAGATCACGCGGGAAGGAAAGAAAGAAAAAAGTTATTTTCTAGCTGCTGAAATCTCCACGGTTCTGGTGAAATCTCGACGCCATCTTTGTTGTAAGAAGTAAACAACGAAGAGAACGAAGAAAACCGCGAAATTGTTGAACGCATGAATAATCATTTTTATTATGCAAATTCTTCTATAAATCATGTCGTTGTGTTAAATTATTCTTTACCTTATGTGTACACACGTTGTCACAGGCGAAAATGAAGAAAACTGCAGTAAAAAGCCACCACCAAATTGTAAACAACGAAGAAATGTAAACAAACGGCTAATGTCAAAATCGTTAAACTTTTTTCCTTAATGCGAATCTAACGGGCTACTCTCCTGCCCGCGTGATCTTGTATTTTGGTTCATGTGATTTGCCGCATCCAACTTAAAGTTGTCGGTAAGGTCGCCTCTTGTAAATTCCCCATAAGGTGGTTCTGGAGCAAATTCAAAACAGCAAGATATATATCCTGTCGAAATAATGTAATGAATGATGTGTAAAGCTCGCGCAATTGTTTCATTCATTATTTCGATACTTTCTTTCGACCTTTTTATTTTCGGCACTTTTTCTTGACATTCTTGGACATTTTAAATTTCAATATATCGTACCAGACCCTGCTGCAATAGCTCTAGTCTTCCACGGGTTAACTTCACAGTGGCTACTTAATTGGCGTGTTCAGTGCTTGTAAGATTCTACTTCTACGTTCTAAGTTCCGTCCCTCTCATAATTTTTAATTATTTTTGTGCCATCAAAAAACGGGCAAAATAAACAAATAAATGCAAAAGGTAAGCAGTTTTTTAATTGATTAAACTTTCGTTTATTCACGCATTAATATGCGTCGGAGGAATAGTTTTCCAATGCGAGCGTTGCCATATTATGAAATACTTTTCATTTCCAGGCAATACTAGTGGTATTCACAATTGGGCAATTCACAAGGTGTTGTGAAGTTATATTTTCCTAACAAAAGTTGTGTTAAAACACGACGGTTCTGAACACCTGTTACGATTATTTATTATATCTCAGCACTTAACCTCACATAACACCGAATAAACATAGGTTGCAGAGTTGTATCGTCATGTGTTATTTTTCTTCACAAAACAATAACAACATTTTTACAACTGTCATGAAATATCATGACTTCACGACAAACACGACAAATACGACACCTTGTGAATTGCCCAAATGTAGGGAATAAAGGTGGCGCATACCGCAAACCACTACTTTGATTTTATCGATTTTGGCAATTCTCAAGTAAAAATAAACAATGGCTCAGAAACTTTAAATGCATTGAAATTCAATAACACTTTCACAAAAATCGCTTGTTTTTAAAATTTTCTTAATTTTTTTTTCATTATAAATCGTCGCTGGAATAATGAAATAGTGTAACATGAAAAGTATAGTTTTGAGAAAAATGAATTGGAAGTTTTTATAAACCATGACAAACCATACGAATACAATTTCAGTTTTCGGGAATAAATTAGTGAGCCAAAGAGATATTCAAGAAAACTAAAGATTTGTCTAATAGATTAAAGGATTGTCTATCCTATGGTGCAATTATCGAATAATAGTGTATGTGGCATTTACACCGTTTCTTTATTCGAGCGACGAAATCATATATTTTATTATTTAGCACAATTATACCACGTTCCCTATCGAAAGATTCACTGTACTGACATTTTCTTTTATCCTATTCAGCTTTGTTTACTTTTACTTGAGAAATGTCATCGCTCCGGGAATGCGCAATCTTGCATTCTATCACTCATGAGCGGTATTCACTAAACTTATAAAATGTATCAAAAGCTTGTATTAAGCACTTTACACACTTCAGTGTGAGTGTGAACCTTTTATTTTGACCCATGTATATCACTTTTTGTAATAGTTATATATGAAAACATAATTCGAAAAAGTGGAAAAAGCAACAACAGTTTACGTGGCGAACTTAGCTCAGCGGGTAGACTACTTGCTTTGTAATCCGAGGTAGTATCCCAGTGACCACGGTTGAAGAAGACTTATGAGGAGATGTGGTGATCTCCGAAATAACAGCTATAACTTCTACTTAGGGCCTGTGCCAATCGGTAACTGTTTTCTCCGTGGTGAGACGGGGTGGAAAAATTTGCTATGGTGTGCAAATAAATTGAATTTTGCTGTGCCAAATGCAAAGTAAAATTTTTACAGTTGAAAAACCAAACAAATGCTCGTACGAAAGCTCTATTTTTGTATGTTGCTGAAATTGCAACAACAGTTTACGTGGTGAACTTAGCTGAGCGGGTAGACTACTTGCTTTGTAATCCGAGGTAGTATCCCAGTGACCACGGTTGAAGAAGACTTATGAGGAGATGTGGTGATCTCCGAAATAACAGCTATAACTTCTACTTAGGGCCTGTGCCAATCGGTAACTGTTTTCTCCGTGGAGAGACGGGGTGGAAAAATTTGCTATGGTGTGCAAATAAATTGAATTTTGCTGTGCCAAATGCAAAGTAAAAGTTTGACAGTTGAAAAACCAAACAAATGCTCGTACGAAAGCTCTATTTTTGTGTGTTGCTGAAATTGCTAAAATCGCGATAAGACGCTGCCCAGTTGTGATGTAGACCTACCACCAAGGCGAATTTATACAAGGTGGTGTTACTGGCGAATTTAGATTTTCGCCGCGGTACTTAATGTCAAAATGATGTGTTTGTTGTAATATGAATTCGCCTTGTTTACAACAAACACATCATTTTGAACAAGGCGAATTTATACAAGGTGGTGTTGTCGAATCTGCTGATTTCTTCTTCTTTCCTTCGCCTTACATGTATTTTATTTTTGATTTTACTGATTTGACAGCATGCCCATGATTAGCGAAAACAAAATACATATAAACTTTGAGGCGAATTGAGATTTGACATTTTGACCCTGATACAAAATACATGTGGTTGTTGATTCGCCTTGATTTTGACATTAAGAAGTACCGCGACGAAAATCTAAATTCTCCGGTAACACCACCTTGTATAAATTCGCCTTGCCTACCACAGTGTTTTGGAATCTATCACAGTGTTTTGGAATCTACCACAATTTTGAAGGCTTATCTACCAATAAAAAAAAATTTTACAGTTCGCACACTGCTTGCAGCGTTTTGAAGGCGTCAAAAGGCGTGTTTTATATGACGCGAAATTTAAGCTATTAGCTTATTTTGTATGGAAGATTTAGCCAAGTCTTCCGTACAAAATAAGCTAATAGCTTAATTTTCTGGTCAAATAAAACACGCCTAAAGAAGACGAAGAAAAGTGGCATAGCAACAATTGCAAAGAAAAAATATGTTATGTACAAAAACGAATAGAAAACGTTCACAACAATCAATATGATATAGACACGCCGAGTACAAGAATATGGGCAATTCTCAATTAGTTCAAACTTTCGCATGACTCGACAAAAAAAGCACCACCGTACATATTTTCAAGCCAAATATGTATATAATTCAGAGATAAAATTGGGAAATTTTCACAAATAAAAGTGTGACTCTTATAATTTTTTTATTTTTACGTTGCAAAATTTGGTGCGTCGATTACTCATGGTTGAGTTTATAATGAACTGATTTTTAATTTTAAGATGAATTCTGAGCAATAAATGACTTATGTATATAATCAATTGAATTGAAACACAAGAAAACACCTTATAGTTATTTAGTAATTTATTTAAATTTTATTTATTTTATTTTTAATTGTCTCATAGACATCATGATCAGACAGTCAGAATTTCAACTAAAACTAAAACCAAAAATGTGATGTGAATGCGTTGACCAATACATAAGTTGCGATCCCGTACGAGTCCGGACTAGTCAGAAATAGTCAGAATCAGTCAGATTTTACTGGAAATCGATCCCGTACTCGGTTCTCTGACTATTGAGAGGACAAAAAAGAGAGTAAATACGGTTCTCTCTCTGTCAGAAGTTACCAGTCTTAGTCCGAGAATTTTTTGCTGGTAAATACTGGTAAATGTCAAACGATCAGCTGTAGTGTGTTTGGCAACCAAATTGTAAACAAAAGAAAAGTGAACTCTGCTAATTCATGTTGAGAAGTATTTAATTACTTGTTTAAGTGGATTCTAATGAATTTGAAAGTATTTTTGGTTATTTACATGTGTGAGCTGAGTGTGTTTACATACAAAATAAGCAAAAATTTACAAGCAAAATTTGGAGGTTATGTTGAAGTTGACAGAAGTTACCATTTTTCACTAGAAAGCGATCCCGTACTTTTCAATGTTACTCGCTCGCTCTGAGCGAATTTTTATTATTTGGCAGTTTTACTAGTTTTAGTCCGAGGAATACGGGATTGCACCTATACATAAATACAACACTAGTTTACTTTAAAGTCAAGAAGAGTGAATAGATTCTAAAATGTCTAAGCGGTTGCGATTTAATTCAGAGCCGATTATTTTAAAATTATTTTCATTAATTTTATGCTTTTCTAACAAAATATGTTCTGCCAGGCCACTTTTATATGGCTCGATATTTTTTATACTATTTAAATGTTCTTTTAATCTAATTTTTAAACACCGGCAAGTTTGACCTACATAAACACAATGACAAGAATCACAATTAGCTATATAGACACCTGGTTTTTCCATACTAACGCATTTATTTTTTGTAGAACACAACAATGATTTTAATTTCGTATTACTTTTTGGAGCTAACCAAATATTTTCTTTAAAACATTTGAAAAACAACTAAAATTATTGGAATTGTACAACATAGAACAACGTTTTATATCATTTTCCTTTTCAAAAAAACGAAGATACAAGACTTTTTGATTTACGTTTTGAATATTTGGGTTGGGTTCCGAAAAGTATCTCTTTGTTCGAGAAGAACAAAGAAATTCAATGGTATGATTTTCTTTCTCCTCCGACTACGGGGCTCCTCGGGCGAGCCTATTCAAAATGGGGAAAAAATCGTTGCTTTTGCTCACAAAATGCCACACACCAAATAAACAGTGTTTAGTTGCTCGGATTTAGTTACTTATTAAACGTAGATGCAATATAGCACTTTGACCAGTTTCTTTTAATAACAAATAGCCAAAAAAACGAATTAGAATAAAACAATCAAGTTGAATTAAACATGAATGAATTGTAGTAGTTGCCACTCCACCAAATATTCACAAAATTACAATCAGATTAGACAATTGGGTTGTACACACTTGCCTGGTTATCAGGTTATCTGGGTAAAAATTATTATTCTGTAGTGTATGTTATTCTTGTAAACTAAATAAAAAATATAACTACATAACCAGATAACCTAATAACCAGGCAAGTGTGAACAACCCAAATCTAAACTTAAGTTCTAATTGAGAAAAATCTTAGCCAAGAACAGTTTAAGGTTTTGTTCAAGTTTGCGTTTCACAATGCGTACTTAAATATGGAAAATATATTGTTAAAAAGTACGGCAGCACCACAAAAAATGCTTTGTTTACATGTCTTGACATTTCTTAAAATACAAAACAACTGAGGAGATAGTGTATGCGGTTTATTTAATGTGTAATATTTGAGCGAAGAAATATAAAATATTGAACTATATATTAACAAAAATTTCAGAAAATAAGAGGAGAATAAATTTCGGTCCAAATGAAATTGATTTGCTGGTATGCCTCTTCGTATTCCGAATCACTATCATCTTCCCAACTCAAATCAAAATCCATTTTGTGCCTTTATTTTATTTTTCCGACAAATTGTTTTGCTTTACAATCAAAATTTATCATAAGTATCTGTTTGCTAAATCAGCTGTTTTGTCGAATTAGTTTACTTTAAGTCGCCCATG